ATATATATATATATATATATATATACCTTTCTATCTCTACATTCTCTGTATTTTGAGGAAATTTTTCTTACAAGCTTTTCTCTTATGTGGTCATACAAATATAACTATTTTATGTATGCATATGCACATCTATATGCTTGGCTTGTCTTGGTATTTATATTTTTTTGCGTATGCTTCCACTTATACTTTTATTATCAATTTCGCAGCTATTCTTTTTCACTCCGTGTTAACTGCTTCTTGCCACACAAAGCAATAATTTTCCTTGGTAATTAATTGAGGGTTTTTTTACATGAATATAAATATAAATTTTCAATTGTGGTCTGTTTATAAAGGGCCCTATGACATTTATCCTTTACGAATTTTAATTTTGCCTCTAGCTATTACGCTTAGTCTCAAAAGATTTACTTGAGGAAAAATTGTATTATTATTCTGGCTTGAAATGATATCTTAAGGTTTAATTTGTGCTTCTATGTTGAATTCTTCTGGTATTCTGCAACTTTCAGCATGCAATCGACTCTTGCTTTGTCATATGAAATCTGATAGCTTGATGGACATTTATCATTGCAACAGACCAATGCGAATCTGGCTCATTTGTAGGACTTACATAATCATAAGGGGTTTTAATTCCTCTGCCGTCTTATCATCTCTTATTTATTTCCAACCTATTCACATAAATGTATTTTTTCCATAATACCTTACAGTTTCAAACGCAACTCGAGATATTGGGCTGCATAAATCGCCTAGTAATATAACTTTTGTTCGGCCGTCATCGCCTGTCTCTCTTGCCTCCTCTCAGCCTGCTGCTTCCCCAAACCCTTCTCCAACCCACGAAGTCAGTAGGGCTGGCCTTCAAGAAAGACATGGTCAAGCGGAAATTGAGATACCCCTATCGGTTGATGCAGAAAGTATAGTCAATGCTCCTCAGGAGCTTTCGGTTTATGCTGACGAAGGGGTTGCAATCCCTCCATGTTGTCTTTCCTCTGTACGAGATCAGCCGGCGAGTCGGACTAGCGAGATGCCATTGGCTACAGGCAACAGAGATATGCAGCGGGCCTTTATCAACCAGTTAATGCCGGTTCTTGTCACTGTGCACAAGGTCACCATCTCGCCAATCGTTAGGTTCGTCTCCCTGGCCTTTTTAAGAAACTTGGAAAATTATTGTGTTTGTCCGACCTTGTGGAACTTACCTAGTCCTATGTC